TATTTCTATTATTGGGAAAATCCAACTACCAACCATTAATCACCTTAACATAATAGGGTAGATTGAGCTTATATATATGATCTACTGATAGTTTCGAAAACCTAATTATGAAGGAAATAAAGAAAACTCAGCCTGTTTTAATCAAAGTCGAAGGAGAGTGCCTCGAGGACGACTTTCGTCAGAATGTTCCGATGAGGCCAAATGAGAGCTAGTCAAGCGGAATCAGAAATGGCCTATGGAGAGATCGATCTTCGCATTTCATCATCACACCCTTTCACAAGAAATGAAAGTGAGTACAGATATTGCCTATGAAAGCTGGCTCGAGATCCTTCGTAGGAAAACAGGCATCGGTAGAGTGTTGGTTCGACCTTGTTATCGCAACTTGGTCGTAGCGTCAGGGAGAACTTGTGGAACGTACTTAGTCCGTTGTCCTCTGCCATAATATTCGTGATTTCCAGCATTGCATCATTGGCTGGGTACATTCCCTAATGTTTCGTCGGCATCCTGAGTGGGAAACGCCACCGTAAGCACAGAATTACAAATTATCAAAGTGACAAGTGAAGGCAATCCCTTTGACCAATTTTCTGCACAACTGTTGTGGCATCGCTCCTCACCCATTATTTTTTGTTCTACCTTCTAGTACTACATCTCTATCTCTCAACTCTACTTCATATGGCCCATCTACTTATTCACACAATTCTGTGCTCTAGTTTCCTCCAATTTTGCTTTCGAATGTGTCGCTACAAGTGGGTCTATGGAAGCGATATTGAAGGAAACGAGAGCACAGAATTGTGTGAATAAGTGGATGGACCATATGAAGTTGGGTTGAGATAAAGAGATGGCATACTAGAAGATAGAAAAAAAAGGGGCGAGGATTGATGCCGCAACGGCTGAACAGAAAATTAGTCAAGGGGATTGCCTTCACTTGTAACTTTGATAAGTTGTAATCCTGTGCTTAAGATGGCGCCTCTCACTGAAGATTCCGGCGAAATGTTTGGGAATGAACCCAGCCAATGGTCCAATGTTGGAAATCACGAATACTATGGCAGAGGACACGGGACTAGGTACGTTCCACAATGTCCCCCTGAAGCTCCGACCAAGTTGCGAAAATAAGGTCGAACCAACAATATAAAGCTAAAGGAGACTGCGACCAAACAGAAGGCCACACCATCTTGGTCTTCATACCTACGAAGCATAAATAAAGATGAAAATTATACTTAGAAAAAAGTAAAAGAGAAAAAAGTGCACTTCTGGGAAGAAAGCAAATGAAACTGATAAATACAGATATACATTGTGGAAATGGAAAGTAGAGGCCAAAAATAATAGGAGGAATGCCAAAATGTATAAATATAAAAGAGTGTACGAGAAAAGGGTTGAAACGGAAAATGGAATGGAAGACAGACAAAAATTCTGTATGAAATTAGAAAATAATTGGGGTGAAAAGACATGTCAATATAAAGGAAAAATCGGCAAGTATAAAAAGAGGAAGAAAGGATCAGGAGAAGCGCACTATAAAGGCGGAGCATTTAAGAGATATTCAACGAAGGTCTAAACATCGAACCTCTACAAAAATCCAGTAATAGAACCAAGGTCTATTATTTTGAGTTCACAAATTGGCCTCACGCGAAACTAAAAACGGATTGCCGCGAAATAAAGACGGTTAAGTTATGTGAACAAGTCCTTGTGAGAGTGAGAAGCCTTAGTTTATGTAAAACTGCAGCAATATAGAAAAGCAAGAATTAAAAGTGTCGGCTTCAAGCCTAATCATTTATAAAACCCAATTTAGCCAGCTCAATGGCGTAAGCTATGAGTTGGTTGGTTACTTTATGCTTCTTGAGCTTACTTCCAATTCGAGGGAGAGTGTTTGATAAAGAGATTCGAAGGTCGATCCCACCATAAGACGACGGCGGATCCCTCTTTACCAGCTGTCATTTTACTTTACTGGAAGATTTTTGTTGACGCTGTTCCCGAGGTAATCTCCTATCAAATATAAAAGCGACTAAATAAGCACATAATTTTATAGCAAAACAATCTGGATAACGGGTCAACTTTCTCTCTAAGTGGGTATAACTGAAGAAAATGCCGTAATTTACCTCAAAACCGTTTTTATTTCCCACTTCCTTACTTGTTCACCTATCCTTTTATAGAGAATGCACGAAGGTAAAGACAAAGCATGAGAAAAGGTCTCCTTATCTCTCCTTACGTATTCACCATTCAAAAAGCTATTATTTTTCAATCAAAGCTATGGATAATTATTCTCAATAATTATTTGTTTAAACCTACCAAGTTCGTTTTCACAAGGGAGAGAGACTTATTGTCCCATTTGACAAAGGGTGTCTGGGTAGAAAAGCGCATACCGAGGCTGTTTGGTTTCAAAATCAGAGCTGGTTGAGCACAAGGCAGAGACTGGACGCGAGAGTGAATGGCCTCAAACTTCTCGTTTTGCTAATTATGGTATGTCTGCGGCTAAACGTAAAATTAGAGAAGCCATCGAAACAAATCGAATAGTGAATACATGGAAGTTATGGAATACTGGCAAGAATATAGTAAAAACTTCTCGTGTTTATTTAATAGACTCAAAAATAGAGAGGGTGTTGAGCCGCCTGCAAAAAGAAGGCGACTCAAATAGGCTTTTATCGTCTTGGTTCTAATCACGATCACTTTTCTGTACTTTTAGTCCACTCTTTCTCTCTCGCATTAAGACCCAAAACAAAAAATATGTTCATCAACAAAACCTGGTCCCATTGATTTATGTCTGCTAGACACATACTAATTTTATCAGTGGTTTCATAGTTCCTACTTTCAACCCATTATGAATGATTAAAGAAGAAATTAATAGGAAAACCCACGTGGGTGGATTTCATATGTACAGCTCTACCCAACTTATTATCTTCCTTGCTTAGTAAAACATCAAAAAATAGTGGCGTTTTGCAGGCCCGGAGACTTCCTGTTCAAGTGCAAGATTAAGACATCTTTAGAAAATAATTAGCATCTTTAATAGGCGGAACGAATGTGGAAAACGGAGTGTGAACTTTTTATCGTTGTTGGGTAGGAATAAGAAGGAGAGAGAGAAGGAATAGAAGAAATAGAAAGAGAACGTGAATTATCGTAGAGCAAGAGTTGGAGGCTGTA